GAAGTAAAAAAAACAAATGAACTACTCCGAAATGACTATTTTATACCTCAGTTGGAAGAAAAAATACAAAAACACAGTATGAATTATATTCCATGTATCGTTGTGAATCGGAAGCAGGGTAAACAAGAAGGCGAACTACACCCATTGTTTAAAGAAAGCACACCATTACACACGTACCATGTTAATTTTTTGGGACCATTAGTATCAACGAACAAACAATATAAGCATATCTTTGTCGTTATTGACTCTTTTACTAAATTCTGTTGGATATATCCAACTCGAACCACATCAGCTAACGAAGCTATATCCCCATTGTGTACGCAAAGCATAGTTTTTGGCAATCCTAATCAAATAATATCAGATCGAGGCGGTGCTTTCTCTTCAGATGATTTTCGTAAGTATTGCGAGGGTGAAAGTATTAAACACATCAAAATTACTATGGGCTTAGCCAGAGCCAACGGACAAGTCGAAAGATGAAATAGCATAATTGCACCAGTTTTGGCAAAATTAAGTATGGAAGATCCAACTAAATGGTACAAAAATGTTGACAAAGTTCAGCAAATAATAAACTTCACGTATTGCAGAAGTACTGGAACGACGCCTTTTGAATTACTAATTGGTGTTAAAATGCAAACAAAGCAAGATATTCAGATCAAAAAATTTATCGAAGAGGAAATTACAACGATTTTTAATGAAGACCGAGAAGAAATGAGGCAACGCGCAAAGCAACAAATACTGAAAATCCAGTTAGAAAACAAGAATGCATATAACCAATGACGCAGGCCAGCCATAAACTACAAAGTAGGCGATGTAGTCGCAATCAAAAGGAAGCAGTTTTCAGGAGGACTGAAGCTAAAACCAAAATACTTAGGGCCTTACGAGGTCGAGAAAGTTAAATCAAACGATACGTATGATGTTATAAAAATCGGAAACAGCGAAGGGTCAAAGCGGACTAGCAGTTGCGCAGAGTATATGAAGCCTTGGGCAGTTGCTGACAATGACACTTCATTCGGGTCGAACGAATCGCAGGATGACCGATTGTGGGGTGCAGTCTGGCAACGCCAGCATATGAGCATAAGGAAGTAGAAAAGAAGAAGCAAACGAGTAGTGGAGAAAAAGACGTGTGAAGTAACGACGGTGTGCGCGGACAAATAAACAATTTTTCATTTATATTTTTTCAATTTAATTAATTAACTTTGTATTAATAAATTAATATAACCATAAACATATTTAAGATTTTAATAAAAAGGAATCCTACATATATAATAAGTCAATGCCAAAAAATAATTAATTTAAACTACTTAAAACAAATAAGTAAAAAAACAATTAAGATTTTAACGAAATAACTACTGTAAAGTATGTAATGGAATAGTATATATAATAAGGTAATGTCAAGAATATTTAATTTAAGCTACTTCAAACAAATAAGTTAAAAGACAATTAAGGTTTTGAAGAAATAGCTATTGTAAGATGTGTAATGGAATAATATATATAAAAACTGTAATGAACCCCTTTACTTGGGGCTGTCCATAGCTGGGACAGTTCAGCCGCAGCCAAGGTTTTTACAAGAAAATTTATACTTACATTGTGAGGTTAATTCTCTGAATCAGTGACTGTTGCTATTCTTGTTAGGTCAAATTAATTTAGAAACAAATCTTGTTCAATTCAATTCTTATATTTGGATATATATGGGCTTTTTCAGTTTTTTAAATTACAATCTTAGATCTAACGTGTAAATAATAAAGAGATGAGTGGTAGAAATAAAGAACTAACTAATAATATGTTTACATGCGAAGTAGTTTGCTTCTCAGTATTTCCGCTAGGCTACATTAACATAGTCTGATCATTTAACGCGATCATTAGTCTCATTATTTATATATTTTGCACGGCAGTATTAAGTACGCTAAGTTTATAGAGTTTTATAGCGATTACGCAAACACATTTTCGTTATATATATCTAGGTAGAGTGATAACAAGGCGTATTAGAGACACAATATTAATATCTTTTATTCTCAGCTATCTTTTATTGTCAGCTCGTAATGCGCGAACACTAGTCACTATATTTTATATATTTTCGCATGGTAGCATTAAGTACGTTAAGTTTATAGAGTTTTACAGTGATTACGGGAACACATTTTCGTTATATACATATCGGTAGACTGATAACGAGGCGTGTTAGAGACAAAATATTAATTTCTTTTATTCTCCCGCAGGGCGATATTAAGACATTGTCAGTGTTCAATCACGAACATGAGTTTTGACCTCCGGCAGAATGTTCAATCATGAACATGAATTTATAACATAAATTTAATTATTATAGTTTATATCATCACCTAAATTCTTAGAATTATGTACTAAGGAAAAATATAGATAAATAGTAACATTTTTTAGCAACCGTATTTAAATTATTAAAATAAAATATATTCATAAAAACAATAGGAGGAAAATCCCAAGTGTTGGGACTTCCGTCCTTTTTTAACCTTTTTTAACCTTTTTTGACAAATGTAATACAGTCCACTAAAATCATAATAATTTAACCTTGATGTAGAAATTAGTCTTAAAATATTTTTGTATAAAAACACAACATTATTTTAAATGAAATTAGTAGCTAAAAATTACTCAGTGTGTGTACTTTAATTTATTAAATGTACATTTTGGTCCTTCGAGACATAAAGTGAAATTGAGTACAGTGCGATACAAGCGTGGACTGAGGCTTAAACATCGGTGCCAAAAATTGAAATATAGTGCAAAAAGCATTGATCGAGATTTAAATATCGGTACGGTAAAAAGAAAATGGATCCATCAAAATTATTAGCTCTGCTAAAACAGCAAAGAGCAATATATGACGATGTTAAGAATATCGAGAAGAATAGCAGCAAACGTGAGTTGCGTGCAAATACAATAAAAGAACGTTTAGATAAACTACAAGGATTATGGAATCAATTTAAAGATAATCACGAGAAAATACTCTTAACGGAGAATAAGGAAGACAAATATTTTAAAGAGGACTTTTACACTACAGTGCATCAAAAAGTGATTCAGGTGAAAACAATGCTCGAAGAAATAGTTAAAAGCAAAGATAGAAATGCAGAATCTGTTGAAAGCAAAAGTGTAGACGAGAAAATAACGGAAAGTCAAATTGAGAAAAATAAAATCAACAATCTAGTAGAGCAATACAACAATAACATCGCAAGGTTAAGACAGATGTTAGAAAATCTTGACCATTATGATACTGTCACGCGATTGGAACAACTTAATGGAATCTGGAAAAGAAAGTTCGAAGACATTAGAAGTATCTATAAGAAGCTGGTTATTGAAATGTCGTACAATGAAGTAGACATTATGAATGATTATGATGAGATTGAAGACCAATACGATAAGGCGTTAGATGAATTAGCCAATAAAATGGAAAAATTACGTGAGGGGAACAACGTTAAGCTTGACTGCATTAGAATCCCAAATTTCAACGGTAATATTGAAGAATGGTCGTCTTTTCATGATCTATATAAAAGGCTTATCCATGAGGATGGAAAAATTTCGAATGTTGAGAAAATGTATCGACTCAAAACATTAGTAAAAGGAGAAGCAAGCAAGCTGATACAACATCTACCGGTGTCGGAATTGAATTATGCTGTAGCTTGGGAGATTTTGTCGCAAAGGTACGAAAATGAAAGAATGTTGTTTACAATATTAGTCGATAAATTGCTCGATCAACCATCTGTATATAATGATTCAGCGTCAAGTTTGAAAAAGTTGCTTGACACATCGATAGAATGTATCCAGGGGCTGAAGGCAATGGGTATAAAAACGAATGAAGCAGATCCAATAATAGCAAGGATTATAATCAGGAAGTTGGATAAGGAAGGATTACGGCTATATGAGCAAAATATAAAAAGGACAAAGGAGATTCAAAAAATGGACGATGTATTACAGTTTCTGGAGCAGCAATACCAAGCAGCAGAGGCGATTAAATCTAAGAAACAAACTAATAATGTAAAGTCTTTTCAAAAAACAACAGCGACAACTATAGTAGCAAATGATTACCAGTGCTTTTACTGCAACAAAAAAGGACATATGGCAATAAAGTGTTATGAGTTTCTAAAGCTACAAGTCAAGGACAAAAATACATGGGTAAAAGACGCTAAAATTTGTCGCGTCTGTTTATCGCATAAAACTACAAAAAGATGCAATAGTAAGACAAAATGTCAAGATTGTGGGAAGTGGCATAATACTCTTTTGCACATTAATTCAGGGCAAAATAATAACACATCAACATTAACAATGAATACGGGCACAGCAGAAAATGTGTTACTTGCAACGGCGCAAGTGCGCGTAAAAAGTGTTCAAGGTGAGATGATTATGTTAAGGGCACTAATTGACCAAGGGTCGCAAACTACAGCTGTATCAGAAGAAGCGGCACAAATATTAAATTTACCAAGGAAAAAAGTAAAAATGGAGGTGCAAGGGCTTGGAGGAACACCGGTTGGCGTTGCAAAGGCAAAAATAAATCTTCAAATTCACCCACGATTCACCAGTAAATATAAAATAAATGCAGAAGCATTAATTTTACCATCATTGGTATCTTGTCAACCGGATAAAACCTTTAGCTATAATATAGATAAGTGGGAAAATATGACCTTGGCGGACCCAAATTTTAATAAATCCGATAGAATTGACATAATCATAGGAAGCGATCTTTACGGAGAAATTCTTGAAGGCGGTCTACTTAAAAAAGATAAAATATTGGCGCAATCAACAAGTTCGGCTGGATATTATCAGGTATTTTACAAGCAAAAAGAAGCATTAAAGGATTCATCTCTTCCAACGTCGTCAACATAGAGAAGTTTTGGGAAATAGAAGAAATTCCAGAGGATGAAGATTCATCAGAAGACGGATATTGTATGAAAAATTATGCTGCGACAACTACCAAAAATGAAGATGGACGATTTGTAGTTGAGTTACCTTTCAAAGAAGAACACCAACTTGGCGACTCATACAAAATGGCGATGGCACGATTCATAAATTTGGAAAGAAAATTACAGGCAAACCCATCATTAAAGAGAGAATATGTCGAATTCATGAAAGAGTATCTAGCTGATGGGCATATGAAAAAAGTAAGTTCAAAAAGACAGGGAAAATATTATCTACCTCACCAAGCAGTAGTAAGAGCGAATAGTATCACTACTAAGGTGAGAGTAGTTTTTGATGCTTCGGCAAAGACCACGAATAAAAATAGTTTAAATGATGTATTATATGTTGGCCCAAGGTTGCAAAGGGATATCTTTGATATATTGTTGAAGTTTCGACTGAAAAAATTTGCCATAGTTGCTGACATAGAAAAAATGTATAGACAAATATGGGTGAGTAAAAATGATCAGAAATACCAACATATTTTGTGGAGAAGCGAGATTAATCAGCCAATTGAAGAATACAAGTTAACAACTGTAACTTACGGTATTGCCCCTGCTTCATTTTTAGCTATAAGAACTTTATTTGAAATAGCAAATGAATGTCAGGATAATCAGATATCGAAAATAATTAAAGACGATTTTTATATGGACGATCTTCTAACTGGCGGTGATACAAAAGAAGAGTGCAAAAGTGTTCGGCTAAGGATATCGGCGCATTTGGAGAAGTATGGATTTCATTTGAGAAAATGGTGCTCAAACAGCATGGATATAGTAGAAACGGTGGAAAAATCAAAAGACAATGAGGTCATTGATATAGATAAAGAAGAAAGTATAAAAACGCTTGGCTTGCAATGGAATCCTAACAATGATATATTCATGTTTAAGATAGCAGAAAGTAGAGACGTCTATATAACAAAAAGAATGGCATTATCGTATCTAGGTAAAATATTTGATCCATTAGGACTATTGGCTCCAGTTACAGTATTGGTTAAGTTATTTGTGCAGAAGCTCTGGATAAGTAATTTAGATTGGGATATGAAATTAAATGAAGAAATGATGAAAGAATGGAAAAACATTGTGCAGAACTTAGACGCAATACAAACAATCAGAATTGAGAGATGGGTAGGAGTTACCGGAAATGATGAAATATGCCTGGTGGGGTTCGCTGACGCATCGGAAAAGGCCTACGCAGCAATAGTGTACATAAAAACGCACGCAAAGGTGTCCATAATAGCAGCAAAAAGTAAGGTAAATCCTATAAAAAATAGAAAAACATTGCCGAAGCTTGAGCTGTGTGCAGCGCATCTATTGGCAAAATTATTAAATAAAATTCATAACATAATTAACAGAAAAATAAAAATGTATGCATGGAGTGATTCCACGATTACATTATGCTGAATAAAAAGCAATTCAAGCAAAAATAAATTTATTAGGTCAAGAGTAAATGAAATAAGCTCGTTAATTCCAAGCGCCAATTGGTTTTATGTGCGATCAAAGGAAAATCCAGCAGACCTAGCATCCAGAGGAATTCAGCCGGAAAAGTTAGAGAACCAATCGTTATGGTGGAGAGGTCCAAACTGGTTAAACGATGATAGAATGACATGGCCAAAAGAACAAATGGCAGCTAAAATAATAAATATCAGTAAATTAAGAGAGGAAGACTTATTTAATCAGCTCATCGAGAAATATTCATCTTTTAGAAAATTAAGTAGAGTGGTAGTATATATTTTTCGTTTCATAGACAGACTGAGGAAGGCTAAGTCTCCAGAATATCTAACTGTAGAGGAGTTTAGAAGAGCAGATGCAGCTATTTTTAGAAGTCATCAGACAACACAATTTTTTACGGATATAAGCAGATTGAAAAATAGCTGTGAAATAGATCATCGAAACAAAATGGTAAATTTAAATCCGTTTTTAGACAAAAACCAAGTTTTGAGAGTTGGAGGTCGATTAATCAATGCAAAAATTGGTTTTGATAAAAAGCATCCAATAATTATAGCAAAAGGTCATTTGGCGAATTTGATAATAAATGAAGCACACCGAGAAACATTACATGGTGGACATCGATTGATGGAAAATGTTATAAAAAGAAGATATTGGATATTTGGACTTAAAAACTTGATTAAGAAATGTATACGTGAATGTGTAAGGTGCACCCGTTATAAAGCATTAAAGCAGAAGCAGCTTATGGGTGATTTACCAGAATATAGGGTCAATGTGTCTGCTCCGTTCGCTCATTGTGGAGTAGATTACGCTGGACCATTGCTAATAAAATGTTCTAAAGGGCGAGGCCAAAAAACTTTTAAAGGGTACGTAGCGGTATTTGTATGTATGGCAACTAAAGCTTTGCATTTAGAGTTGGTAAGTGACATGACATCAGACTCATTTCTGGCGGCGCTGAAGCGATTGTTTGCACGCAGAGGCAAATGTTCACATATATACTCAGACAACGGTACTAACTTCGTTGGAGCATCCAAAAAATTAGATAAGGATTTACAACAGGCTATTAAAAGCAATGTGAGTGCAGTTTGTGCATTGGAAGCAGAAGGTATAAAATGGCATTTCATTCCACCGGCAAGTCCTCATTTTGGAGGTTTATGGGAGTCGGCCGTGAAGTCAATAAAACACCACTTGAAAAGAGTTGTTGGCG